GTGTGTTGTTGTTGTGTGTATATATATATATATATATATATATATATATATATATATATATATACATTTATATATATATATATACATATATATTTATATATATATATGCGTGTGTATGTGTGGATGTGTATTTGTATTTGTATGTAGATACATAGCTCATTGTCAGTGACCTGATGTGTACATACATATGTGATGCTGTCTGGTTGTGCGAGTAGTTGACCATTGTGCATGTTCTGCTTGTGAGGGTTGTGTTGGGGAGTCTGGGATGTTTGCCTACCATCGCTAATTACTAGGGCGCAGCAGAGTGTATTTGGTATCGAGGTTTTTAGGGTTTATGTTTACCACATACCATGTACATTTTACACTGTGTGTGAGCAGACTTTTATATATACTGAGTTGCTTACATTGCCTACATGCGTGTGTGATGTGCGTGTTTGACATGTATCTGCTGTGGCGTGTTAGACGAGTGCGCAACAGACGGCTCCGGCGTAAGAATACAGATGCTATTTTCATGTATATATATATATATATCTATCTATATCTATATCTGTATCTATATCTATATCTATATCTATATCTGTATCTATATTTATATCTATATCTATATCTATATATACTCATAGTATGTGCTTGAATACTCTTCCCTGGGGATACTTGACTTATTGTTCTTTAAACGTATCGTAATATCTTTTGCTTTGCTGTTGCAGGTTATTCATCAGCCGAGTCCGCGAGCGATACCGAAGCCAAGGACCAATCAGAAGATAGTGATGCCGACGCCAGCAAGTCCGAGAGCCAATCAGATGGCGACAAAGCCGCCGCCGACACCCCGAGCCGCACCAATGAGGTGGCGTACCTAGTCACCAGAACAAAGTCAGTGGAAACCCCGCTGAAGTTCCAGAGAGTGTATGAGTTCATTAAGCGTGTGGAGAAGGAGATGAAGAAGTCAGACGGACAGGTCAGGAGCAGCATGCGCGTTAAGGAACTGCCTGCGTTGCTGATGGGCAACCTGTCTCATCTGATGCCCTTTGCCATGGGTATGAAGGATAGACGTATACATGTACTCGGCATATATATATATATATGTATATGTATACCTTCATCTTTATCTGTATCTATATCTATATCATCCTTGTCGTGATCGTTACCTATTTGTACATGTACATGTATATGATGCATGTACATATTCGTTTCGATGTGTAATGAACGTACCTCTGTGCGTTTGTAGTTTTCATTGGACCAGAGATATAAGGTTGGGGAGGGACGCATAGTTTATGTCTACATGAGTCATGTGTTCTCTTCAAGTTTCTTCTTTTTAGCTGAATATTCCCATATAATAATCATGTCCATTTTTAATTCCATTTGGTTTTTTTGGAGGGTGATTAGCACCCTTAGCTATAATTGAGATTAACTTTAAATCAGATTTTTTTGGTTGGGGATTTCTACCTACCTACACACACTCACAGTACACAGCGTATTTAAGGGTTTAGGATTTTTGGGTTGTGCACGACCACGTGGCAATGGTATCGACCATTGCAGCGTACAAGGACAGTCCACATACTCGCTTCAGGTGCTAGCTATCACACCAACTAAAACCCTAAACCCCTAAAACCCTATGTTTCGTACCTACACTCCTGACTTAATTGACAGACCACATACTCACTTCAAGTGCTTACCACCACACCAACTAAAACCCTAAAACCCTGTCTCGTACTTACACCCCTGACTTACCTGATCTCCTGGCCCACTCACTCTTACAGTACAAGCACGCCGAGATGAGCGCAAACGCGCACAACGCCGCAGCGAACATGAACATGGCGATGACATAGACCACTACAGCAACACAGACCCTCCATACATCGAAGGCCTCGACAGTCTGGTGCAGAGTATCTATACTCTCGCAAGAGGATCCCCTCCTGAACCAGGTGAGTACATGTACATGGGTATATATATATATATATATATATATATATATATATATATATATAGTGTGTGTGTGTGTGTGTAG